ATAAATAAATAAATGGGGGGGGGGTGATCCTAAATAGGAATTCTGAAGATGTCAGCCTTAACGGAAAAAAGATTCTTCACGTGAAGACTAACGCTAGACACTATATTTAGCGATTTCTAAGTATATCCTTGAAAAGGAAAAGGAAGGGATATGACAATGGTCAGAAAATAGTCCCAAAATAACTCAAATGTTATAGGCGCTGAAAACACCTCTCAGCTGATTGAGATGAGTGTCAACCTCACCTCACTGTTCCCAATCACAAAGCGTTGTGTTCGCAGTAGTAACAACCTGTGGGTCTCCATCAGCCTTCAAGTTAAATGGGTAGTGGGGGCGGGCCCCTCCCCAAATCAGGACAACTAACAAACCAAGTGTGTCACAGTTCGCCCAGAAGACCACACACCTGCACAAAACAAGCCATGCCTCTCCCCACTGCTAAGCAAGCTACTTCAGTTAGCAGCCACGCCCTGGCCCTGGCCTCAGTTCCTCAGAGATCAACAATGCAAAATAGGATGATTCCCAGGAAGCTCTCTACCTCACCTTCCTGTTCAGTTATTTATTTTCATGTGTTGGGGTGTATGTTTGTGTGCCACCTGTGTGCCTGGTGTCCTCACAGGTCAGAGGAGGGCACTGGATCCCCAGAACTTTGACAGATGACGCTTGTGAACCACCACGTGGTCGCTGCGATCGGAACCTGGGACCTCTAGGAAGAAGAGTCAGTGCTCTTACCCACTGAGCCACCTCTACAGGAACCTCTTCACCTCATCTGAGGAGTTCAATCTCAAGTCAGTTTCTGTTCCTTGCTGTTTACTGACTACATTCTAGGAGAAATACATGTCTGTATGGTCATAATGACTAATCTGATTCCTTTTTTTGATTAAAAAAAAAAAAGTTATTCCTACAGGCTGGGAAGATGAGCCCAGGTTAAAAGCATGTGCTCCTCCCCAGACCCCAGTTCTGTTCCCAGCACCTACGTCACAGCCACTCACAGAGCGCCCAGCACTCTGGCCTCTGCAGACACCTACGATGCCTTGCACACACATATTTAAAAATAATGTTCTAGGAAAGCTTATATTTAGGTACTATAATAATTCTTCACTTAAAAATATCTTAATCTGGATCTCACATACAACAGAGTGGGAGCTGGCATTCTTTGCATATTTTTAGGCACTTAAATTATTTCACTTAGTCTCTCCAATCCTGGGAGACAGTATTATTCCCACTCTACTGATAAGGAAAATAACTCAGAAAGAGCAAAACCTTACTTTCACCCGGGGCTCCCTCCACTGTAACTTCCTCAGCCATACTACTTCAAGTTTATGTAAAATAAATTGACAGCAAAACGACTCACCAGAGCTGCAGTCAGATGGGGCACCACCCAAATAACCGCAGGTTTGAAACTAGCCTGCTTAAGCCTCAACAGAGTTCTAGCCTGTCACAGAAGAGCGCGTCAGGACTACCATCGTGGGTATGAAAACAGAGATAACGAGGACTAACGATGCACAGTTTTAGGTTGTCCAGTTGTCACAGACAATAGTAGTTTGTCATTTTGTTTTAGGATAATTATTTAAAATACTAAGCTGTTATATACATGTAAGGGATCAGCTATTTTACTAATCCAATCCTTCCAGAAATATAAACCAAAATAGGATAAACACATTGAAAGACTACCTATTTTAAATAACAAGTTTCCTAATTGTTCATTTTCAAATAACAAGTTTTAGGCGGAAAAATTACAACCTACATGAGCATAAGTTTCAAGGCCAGAAACAATGATTCACATAAAATGTTCCTAATTTTATTTTCTAGCATGTAGCTCTCGAAAAACTTACTATTTATTTTTAACATTTTCAGCAACCCACTCACCTACATGATTTTGCAAAAAATAAACTGAAAAGGTTGGACTGTTTTGTTAATCCTTACTCGCAATCTGCTTTTAAGAAAACTACTTGGCGCCTTTCCAGTTTAGATCCGCGTGGACAAAGCGTAAAGTAAGCAGGCTGATATAAATACTTGAAAGATCCTGGGTGCCCACGGATCTCTGAATCACTCCACAGTTAAGATTGTTATTTCAGAGCAGGAAGGAAAACTCTCTCTCATACTAAAGGGTTTCCTCTGCTGTTGTTTGTGTTAAACCCACAAATGGGGGTGGGGATACTCTGACAGAGAAAATACAACGCTGTGGTATCAAGGGCCCCCACAAAGTACTAAGTAAAACAATTCTACGTAAAAACCACTTTTCAAGCATTCTGACAACTGGAGTAAAAGGAGTTTTTCCTATTTGCGGGTTTTATTTCCAAGTAAAAAGTTTTATTTCCTTGATTGAGTCTGCACCAATTTATTGTGAATAATACCTTAGAGGGGTTACTATACGTGCAAATGCCTAAAATTAAGTTTCCTTTTTTTCTACTACTGACCAAACTCTAAATAAAAACATCTACGCTAGCTGCAACTTCCCGAACCAAAGAGCATGCAACTTAGAATCTTGATGAACTCCTGTCAGCTTTAAAAGCAAGATCTTCAAAGCTGCGTCTCTCGAGGCTAACCAGATGTTTAAACTTCCGCTCAGAATTCAGTTAGGTCAGAGGACGGAGTACTCCACTAAGAGCAAGGATAGCTCACGCTCGCCATGAAGTACGACAGAAAGACGGTCAAAGCATAAAATAACTTGATTAAGGATGAGAACTTAAAGCTCTCCCAATCCACCATCCTCACGGGTCGGCAGGGCCATTTTATGGCACTCGCTTCCCTTACGGCCGTGCTCCACCAACTCTGACAAATGCGGTCCGTGCGTTAAACAATCAGTCGTAAATGAGATCGCACACACTAAACCTACGTACACTGTGGTCAGAAGGCGGTTCGATTCTAGGTGTGGCGTGCCCTTGACTCAGAAGCACCCCAAGAGGCAGGCAGAAGCAGGGTCTACATGGGGCTCCAGAGCAGTTGCTGGTCAACAGCTGATCTGATCTGGGATTCTCTTTACACTCCTCGACAAACTGAGTCAGGATTCATAGACTCAAAGACACACCAGAACCAGACTGGCCTCGAAAGGGATGCTGGATCTCAGTCAAACGCACTCAAACATCTGCTGGTCATTTATCTATTTTGGCCTGACCCTTTAGTGTCTTGGCCTTGTAAATCATCCTCTAGATTTCTATCAGGTTGCAGGAACTTCTCAAACGCCTACGCACACAACCATCTTTCCCATAATGACACCTGGCTCGTAAGAGGCAAAATTATTAAATCAGAAGCCAGTCATTCTCGAAGCACAAGCAGGAACACCACGAGGCGACTCGCGGACGGCCTCCAGAGCCGGTGGGGAAAGAGAGGCCGAGGGCGGGCCAAGCGTCCCGCAAGGCACGGATACCAATCTGAACTGCTGTCCGAGACCGTACGGAGTGCCTGGAGGCGAGTCCCCGCTCTCCGGCGAACCTCTCCACAGAGCGCCGAGGTCTTCTGCGCGACGGCCCCCGCCCCGGCTCTAAGCTTTTTCCGCAGAGCTGCGTCTCAGGGCCAGAGGTGCGAGCGGCCGTCGGCCGGGACCCCGGCTCGGGCGGCGCAGGGGCGGGCGGGGAGGCGGAGAGAGCGGGGCCGGCGGTTACCTTTGAGCTGGGGCAGCGGGTGCAGCTCCGCCTGGCCGCCCTGGCTGCGGAACTGCGAGGAGCCCTGCGAGCGCTTCTGCCTCTGCGCCTTGCGCACCGATTTCCGGGTGAAGCCGTCCACCTTCTCCGAGGCCGAGATGGCGGCGCAGGCGGTCGGCGCGGGCGGCGACGGCAGCGACATCTCCGCGACCCCGGCCTCCCGCGGCGGCCGCCCGGCGAGTGCGGCGAGCCTGCGCCCCTGCGCCCCGGCGCCGCGCGAGCCGCTCCCC